TTAACTGTTTCGACAACTCTAAAAGCGTTTGAGCTGGATTCTCATCAAGCAATTCTTGCAGCTCGACATCTTCAAAATTTTTCGGCTGTCCTGGACGTTCTTTGTCTCTCACATCAAAATCACCGTTTCGGAAGCGTTCAAATCAAACTCTACATGTTCTTTCCGATGGAGTTTCATCACCATACACTTCGGATAATAAGCGATGCGCTTCAGCTGCGGTTTTCTTGAGGTCGAAGTGAAGAAGCACATGTCGGAAAAACAGCTTATTGCGATTCATTTTTAATCGATTGGAAAATCTCTTTGGCGTCGAGAAACCTTTTTTTCCTGGTACGTGAGTGTCAAGTAAAATAGTGAGTTTATAAAGCACCCGTCTGTCGCCGTTGTGTTTATAAAAAAGATTTTTATATGACACGTTTTTTGTTTAGTTTTTATAAAAAAGGAGTGGACGGTTAGAGTTACGGTATTTACCTTTTAGTTTCAGATAAAAGGGATGAATAAAATACAGCCAATTCTCTATGATTCAAACTGTCGTAAGAGGCGACCAGTCGAATATTCACGTAAATTTGTTTTGGAATGCATTAATTGAGCAAAAACATAACTAAGGGAAATGGAGTTTAATGGAATTGGTAGCTGTCAACATAACTAAAAAAAGGACAAAAAATTTAGTGTCTGCCTCTTGTTAAACAGTTTTCTTTTCAGCAAAATAATTCAAAATGATATAGATATTTTGTAAAAGAGAATTTTATTTTAACATTAGAATTTATGAGAATTCGCATATATTGTGGCTCACTGGAAGATTTGCATTTAAATGAGAACATAAAAAGATATATGTATAAATAATGACAAAAAACAAATTATTTAGCTAAAAGATATTTTTTTCGATATCATGCATTTTACATTTCGTGTATGCCATCATTTGTCAATTTTTACTTTTTATTTGCTTTATTTATACAACGCGCGTATGTTGCATATGTGGATTGTAGTACTCCCATTTTAGAAAAAGCTTCTGTTTTAAAATATCACGTTTTAATAGGAGTTTCTGTCTTCTTTTCAGTATTAGGGAAAGGGTGCGAGCTGTCTACATTAGAAAGAAAACAGATTGCGTTTGCCAAAAAAAGAATCTTTGAATAATAGCGCGAAACATAAACCGTGGATTTTATATTCTTTCGAAATTGATTTAAATTAATTGAGAGCGAATTATAAAATTTGTTTATTGATATAAAATTATTGCTTTAATTTTCAATATATCTGTTGATTATGAATTAACTTTCCGCCGGCGAACGCAGGATCTCGCAAGACCCGTGAGTTAAAATTGTTTGCTTTTTACAACTGTAAAGAAAATTAATAAATGAATATTTGGTTCTATGATAAATATGTGTTTTTATTTCATCTTCTACATATTTGAAATAATTTACAACGTATTATAATAAAAAAAAACTGCTCTTTAAACGTTTTAAAATAATATCATTCTTGGGTCGCATTTGACCCTGTATACGCCATTCGTGCGAATATCACGTTCGCTGCGTCTGAGCAGTCCGAGGGTTAACTATTTTATATACTCTTCCAAATTTTCTTACTTAAAATAATGCAATTAACATGTCACATACTACATACAATAATATATTTCATTTTGATTGCTACATTTCTACTGCTAAAACTTTTTGTCTTTGCAGAGTGTTTCAAAAATTTATAGCTTTAATTTTAATAATAGATTTTTTTAAAAACTTGAAATGTTATATATGAAAACATTATTTTAATTGTATTTTATAAGTAAATTAATGTTAGACAAAAAACATGTATCTTAATTACAATTACATAATAATTTTAATATTTGTTAAAACATAATTTGGTATTTCTTAAAAAAAAAACGTAATTTATGTTTATTGAATAATATTAAAAAAAATTTTAAATAGTGCATCATTTGTTAATATTTATCTTTTATTTATTTTACTTGCCACCGCATCGCAATTTTGATTAATAAGGCAAACTTTCTAATTTTATAACTTGAAATGATCAAGAAAAAATCATACGGTAAAATACCGTTCTATAATTTATAGGAGGAGCCAGCGAGCATATAACAGTAGTAGTTAACGGATTCATAACCCTTGAATCACGGAAGGATCTTTTGTTAAAAGGAATTCTACGTTGTAGTAGAAAGCAAGGGTGTGGATGAAATATATGGGGTGGGGGTGGTTAAATCGCTACTATTGGACAGATGGATCCGGAAGAGAGGGTAACTGTTCTAGGGCAGGACCTAACGTTGGGACTTACAAGTAGTGTTGTTTCAGTTCGATTCGGTACCGTTAGCTCGAGATATTCCGAGTCTTCTCATGTATTTTGATATATGCTGAGATTTTTGCTTCCGGGAAGCAAACTCGATTCGGATTGTCTAAGTTCTCAGTTTGGATCAAATTTCTGCTCGCGATAATTTGATATTTGTATTAATGTGAATCTACGTCGCGAAGTCGATCCAGCATTTATCCAATCGACTTTTTGCATCCTTAAGAAATTATAATTTCAGATCTATTGAGATACTATCTCGTCTTGTTATGGACGTTAAATTAATAAAAAAAAAAATGTAACATTCAAGTAAAGAAAAATCTTTGAAATGGATAGCTTGTATCTTGAGAATATGTTGATAACATTATATAGTATGATTTATCATGGCTTTAATGGCATTATAAAAAGTAGGAATATTTATTAAAAGTGTATAGTGAAATATATCAGTATCAAATCTTTATTTGGAGGCGAACTGAGGAATAAATGGTATTCTAAAGCATCAGAGGACAACGAATTTGACACGTATAATAAAACAAGGTACAACTATAATATTATTTGATTTTGATTAAATTCTTTATAGAGAAAAGTCTAAATTTTTTACAGATAAAATTCTTTGTAGATTACATTTTTTATAGATTACATTTTTTTATAGAGAGAAAAAGTACTGAGTTAAAATTGCTTCACAATTAATCAGAGATTAGTTTCTGTTTAATAGCATTTGAGAGAAAACTCGATCGCGATATAAGTCTCTTTTTTCTCTTATTTCTTACTTTTTGCTTATTTGTTTTATTTTTTTACTTACACAAGAATGTATAATAATGTGGTAAATTTCTTTATAGCGCGGTAGATATTTTTCATGCAAAAAATATATAAAAAATTCTTATTATTCAGAAAAAACGTGTCATTATAATATTTGATCTTATTTATATTATCTACAGATTGATATTCAAAAGATACAACGTATCGTTTGCACCTTTTTATCTTCTTCTCAAATCAATATATCATGCTATTATAAAAAATAAATGACTTATTTTTTATAATTTTTTAGCAATTTATGAAGGTGTTATCTTTTTTATTTTTATATAAATAAGATTATTTGATTGCACTAAGGTACGTTTTATTTAATATCATTAATTTAACAATTTTTCAGTCACATTTTAATATTTGACTTATCAGCGATTTTTCTTCACCGCGATCTGTCACGTTGTCTCTATTCTATCCTGTATTGTTTGTCGATTGAAATTTCGAGTGTTATATTCATCGTTGCTTTGACGTTTTCTATTTATTATTATGATCTTGACGTACGTCTCGCTCGGAATTTCGAAATACCAACGTCGTTTTGACCTTTAGAGAATAATGCTATTTGTTCGGATTTCGGAATTTCAAAGCAGGAAAACGGTTATTGTTAAATATATCGAGAAAAATATTCACTTGCGTATTGGCCTTAAGTTATTGGTCTTAAATTCGAAGCAATTGCACTTACTCTCCAAGAAGAAGTACTCTCAAAGAAGAGAATACTTTTTCTTTTTGTTTTCTACACAATCGAAAAACACATTTATTAACAAATAATATTTATCAAATAAATAAGATATTTTTTATTATAGAATTAAAATATAAACTTTTTTATACGATCTGGCCCATTATTGTAAGAATTGTGGAAATTGTTATTATATAACTTATATTTACATTTGAGCAATAATTATTGGTAAATATTAATTAGAAAACAATACCCTGCAAAAATCAATATAAAAAAATGAATCTCATTTTTATCTTGCATGTGCTCACATTCCTTACTATGGCATTACAGGGTTCGAATTCTAATGACAAAACCTTTAAAAAAATATAATTACCCTTATTTTTTCACATTAAAACAAAAAAGTTACTTTGTTTCCAATTGTGTTGCCATTATCCATATAAAATAGCTTAGTTTTTGCACACTTTCTCTAAGAAAAAGTGCAAACCGGTTCTAATTTTTTTCGCGTAGAAAGGGGAGCAATTTCAAACAGATGTCAAGTTTAATTTATGGTCGCAGTCACATGTATGTGTACCGGACCTAGGTTAAATGAAAAATCAGTAGGGTGTCGTTTTTAAAAGTAAAATTCTACTCTAGATTTTCTGCTCCAGTTAAATAATGCAACCCTAACGTAAAGTGTGAATCGCTTCTCATCTGAAAGGAAACACATAAATCGTTTTTTTGTTTTGTTTAAGAATACGAAATTTTCGTAAAAGAGAAAGCGAAAATAATTTGTAAAAAATTGATATCAATGAAAATATGAAATAAAGAAGCATTGCTCCAAAGTTCGCTGCTATTTTTCTATCACTATTCAAAATATTAACAACAATTTATGTTTAAACTGTAATTTGTATTTAAATTTAATCTATATTTCCATAATTGGAGAAAGATGAATCGAACAAAATTAGTACAATGTGTAAATTTTGAATAAATCAAGCAAAAATAAAGTTATTTTTAAATTTGAAAACATTTAATTTATTATTTTTCATACTTTTTTTTAAAATATTAATATTATATTAATCTTTTATTATTATTTTTATATCTTCTTGTTTACAAATTTTTTTTCGGATTTTAGATTTAATTATTTATAAATTAAAAATTATGTAATATTGATTTTACATATTATTCTGTATATAAAGTAATAGAGCAGTAATTTTTTATAAACAATTATTTTTTAATAAAGTCACATTTAATTCTGATTATTTGAGGTTTTAAAATTAAATCGTTTTTATTCGCTACACGTTGCAATATTATCTAAAAAAAGGTTTTGGAAATGTGTAAGTGGTGAAAATTCACAAAAATGTGTCGAGAGTAATACCTGAAGAATAAGATTTTTACCACAGAGTTATGGTAGGTAGATGTTATTTTTTTAACTCTCTTCAGAATGCGATGACAACTAAAGTGAATGTCCTAATAGGGCCTATAATGGCCTGACATGTTAAATATATCCGACCATATTGAAAAATAATATTTATTATTTACTTTAACCGTTACAAAAGAACATAATAGTTACGATAAAAAAACCTCCTTAAAAAATATCATAAATTATATTATTTGTTGACAACTTACACTTAAACGTCCAACCACTGAAACATTTACCTTAAGCCTTTTTTATTTTATTTGATACAGTTCGCTACAATTAATTAGATCAAAATTACCCGTGTTTTTAATTTTGCAATATTTTGCCAAGATTTATGCTGATGAGAAATTTGACATTGTCATTACCTAATGAGAAATAACGTGCTTCCAACATGCACAAATTAAAACATTATTCATAATTGCGATTGCAATTAGTGATTTATCGTTTCTGTGAATGCAATCTAAATTTTGAAAATCTTGTTGTAAGTGTGTATATGCCATTACGTTGTTATATTAATAACCATTATTATTCGTTATCTTATGGTCTATACTGTATTCCTGTAGTCCTGTAGTTTCTACAATACGACATCTATGAATCAGAATGAGTGTAAAAAATCATCCTTACGGTCATTATGATTCATTATACGTTTCATTTATGTACTCTGAACAATCTTAAAAATTTGAAAATCATAGTTTTTATTTATAGTGGTTATGCATGCAGAGTTTATCTAATAAAAATGTGAATGGTATAATTTTTGTTGACAAATATTAGAAAAACGGAAAATTCTGGGAGACCAAAGTTGAAACAATAGATTCGACAGATTTGTTTCAAATGGAGATTTTTATCTTAATAATATTAACTCATTATTAATGGATAGCTTCGAAAATGCCAGGCAGTTTTTGATAACAATGGCGAGTGAATTTAATTAATAAAAAAGTTAATTTATTATAATATTTTATTAATTTATTATAATTATAATACTAATTTAGTACCAATTTAATAAAGTATACTTTTTTCATCTTTTATTGTAATAAATAGTTTCAGAGTTATGTCGACCACGCTTTTATTAAATATACTATGTGTTATTATTACCAAATTATTTATTTGCAGCGTTGATCAATAAATTATATAAAGCTTAAGCTTTACTTACGTCTCTTGAGAAAAGACTCAGAAATACCCGAATAATCTTAGATTAAAAAAAAAAGATTTAAGATTTTTTTATTTCGAACATTGATTTTATTGATTATTTTGTTGAACAATAAATATAAAAAATAAAAATTTTAGTCGATATTTTCCGTTGCAATTTCTCACGTTTCGTTTAGATATATTTTGTTCGTTATAATCTCCAATGCATATAATCCTAATCCTCGTCTTTCTAATCTTATTTTTGTTCTTTTTTCATATTTCAAAGATCGTCAAAATGAAAAGATGCGAAAAAAATGTAGAATCCCTGAGACAGACGCCGGAGCAACAACAGGAGCAAAAGCAAGAACAACAGCAAAAACAACAACAGCATCAACAACAGACCATTGCCGAGGAGCAGCAATGTCCCTTCCTTCAGTCCACCACGCCCGTTTGGGGTGATAGAATGGTGAGTAATCGTGCAACCCCTCTCCGATTGAGCTTCATCTCCCTTCTTTCTTCCTTTCCGCAATACGCGTCGTGTACTTTATTCATTCTCTGGACCCGTCCCCTTTTATATTCAACAAAATGTCGGCGATGGAAGTCGTATATCGATGTTGTATCAATCGAGTCTTCGAAGTTCAAATGTGAAATATTTTTTTTGCTTGCACCTGTTACGTTTCTTATTTTTTATCTCGCCGAGTATATGTCGTTAATGAAATAAATACAAGGATGTAAATTTTTAATGTTTATTTGCAAATTACATTCAGAATATAAGATCAAGTTTTCATTCATTGTCTCTTAATGCTTTAGAAGATTTCTCAAAATTTGAAGTTCTTCATCTTATAGAATGTAGGTAATTAAATCATCTAGCTCTAAATTTTTAATATATTTATTTTTTGTAGAAAAGACTTTCTAAGAAATATTTTTATTTTTTCTATAGGGTGAACAATCGGCGGAAGAAACTAATAACAATTTCAATTTCTCGTTCCCCTATTCGATTCCAAGCACGTCCGATATGAGAACGTGTAATCTATCGTCTTCGAGGAATAATAGTTTATCATCTATATCCAGTTTAACCGAAAGTACTATGAACAGTAATCAATCATTCAGTGATGCACAGTTACCTAGGAGGTGTAGATTATGTTCCTACGTTGCGAATTCCAGGTATAGTATCTGATATTAATTTTTTAATAGTTTTTTTTCCATAGTTTTGTGAATTATATACAGCTATATGTAAAGCGCATTAGAAGATTAATCGGTTGAAAAAAGAGAAAATTTCAAAGAGTAAATAAATAATATTGGAAAAATAAATAGAAGATGTATACAAAATGTACATCTTCCATGTTATTTATACAAATATAAATTAGAATATTCAATATTCCGTGAGTATGGCAATACTTTGCCATACCCACGTGCGTCTTTAAAAATCTATTTTATTGCAAAATTGCAAAAAATCTATTGTTCTGGTTAAAATTAAATGTAATGACCTCTCTAATTGCATTACTACAATTGCATATAATTGTATTCGCTATCAAAAAAAACCTCAATAAAATAGACTATTATAGGTTAAATTTTATATTTTCAGAGCGCAGTATATCGAGCATGTAATCACTCATTCCACGTTCACAAAAAGTTCATATGTAGACAATGACAATTTAAACGGTTATGTTGATGATGAAGAGTTCGAGGATTCAGGTAATGAATTAGTCAAAGGAAAGAAGAAAAATAAAATTTCCAAGCCGAAACCATGCAGCAAATGTGACTTTATGGCGAAGACGAAATTGGCGCTTTGGTTGCATTTACGTCAGCACTTCATACAGCAAGAATGTTCCGGCTTCATCTGCAACTCGTGTCCATTTGCCACCACGCTCAAGCATCATATGACATTCCATTGGTTTAGTGCTCATGATGATTTTAAAGCATACATGTGCTCAGAATGTTCGTATGCATGCGTGAGTAAATCGATGTTAACTAGTCACATGAAAACACACTCAGAAATCTATCAGTACAATTGCGGCAGCTGCTCATACAAGACTAAATTCTGCAATGCAATAAAAAAACACCTAAAAGATAGTAAGCATCAACCAGGCTTGGTATTGAATCCAGACGGTACGCCGAATCCATTCGCCACTATCGATGTTTACGGTAATAAACGCGGACCCAGACGAAGGGCGTTGATAGAAGGAAAGAAAGAACTAACAGAAACCATCGAGGATATATCGACAAATTTAAGAATGACTCCCCCGATTTCATCGATTTCAACTCCGTCAGCTTCGGTTTTATCAATTCCGATTTCATCACCTACGATCTTAGACTTCCCGGATTCAAATACGGATCAGCCATTGGACCTTAGTATGTCCACAATGACAAAAAGACAAAATCAGTCACAGTTGGCCAACTTTTCAAAACGTAAGCGTAAAGCGGTGAAACTAGAATATCCCACAATAACAATAAGTGAGAAAAAATTTCACATAGATGACAACGCTACACAAATCCAAAATACAGATCAAACTTGTACGGAATCTTCTCTTTCAGCACTTCTAACGGCAAGTCAATCTAATCTCCAGGAGAAAAATATGACACCTGATATAAATATATATAAAACATCATTTATTTGTTACCATTGTTGCATTATTTTTGCGAGTGAGATCATGTACGCAGTGCATATGAGTTTCCACAAAGTTAAAAGCCCTTTCACGTGTGCAGTGTGCGATCGGAAGTGCACAGATCAAATTACATTCTTTTTACACCTCATTCAAACAAAACATGAATAAATACTAAAAAAGTTGGCATGCCATATAGATTGCCTAGGAAGAGAAGTAAACTAATCTAGTCAGACTCCGTATTAATTAGAGACATGTCAAAATCATGTCGGTAAATTAGTTCCTATTTAAAAAAATATTTAAAAAAATATTTTGTAAATGTAATATCGCCCTCTGATTTTGGCGTCATTAGGCGAAAACTGTGGACTGATCTAGACTCATATTTTCATCCGTTGCCGAGTGAGGATCCGAGATCATCATCGTCGATGTTGAGGGATTACCTTAGCAGAAAGATCTTAGCAGAAAGATGATTATTGGCATCAGTCGTGTTTGACATGTTCTAAGTCATCGATTAAATATCTATAGGCATTTTGTAATAAACGGGAAACCTGCTCCTGTTCCTTGTTATCTATGTTTGAACGTGTTGTGATATTTTGGAACAAAAGGTGACAACACGTTAAACGGATTATCTTCAGGCGACAATTGCCCGTTAATGTTCAGATTTATTCTCATTGTTCATTTCATTAAACAAATTATTCAACGTATTAGCTATGACTAGAGAATGAGGTGTAACTGGAGTTGATATCTGAACTGGCGATCTTTGAATTGTTGTTATCTGGACTGGCGATCTTTGAGTTGGCACTGGGGATGGACAGGTATTGAAACCAGTATAATTACTGGAAATTTAATTAATTACTATTTTTGTGATAATGGATACAGATTTTTATTTGAAAAAGTTTCATAGAATATTTATAGAAATTATAAGATTGGTTTCAAGCCTGATAATGACAATAGAAAAAGATGTAAAAAAGGATTGGTTTCCCTTTTCTTCAATAATATTTTTCTAATAGAATACAGAAATTTCGCACAAAAATTTATATTAGTATAATTTTTAAAACATTAAAAATTAGTGTACTCATATAAAATTAATCGATTAGTTTTCATTAAAATTTGATTTTAATGACTATATAGAGCTCTATCGGCTTTCTCTGAAATTATGTAACTTTCATAATACTCATACAGGCTACAGATTGAAATTGAAATTGAGACTGAATTTGACTAATCAAAGCAAAGTTTACTAAACTTAATATTAGTTTTCTTTCTTATAATTTGTTAATTTCGATCTCAATCTCAATACCAATATCTAGTCTGATACGAGCATAGTTTGATACATAATGTTATATAATGCAAATTTTTTGCACGAAATTTCTTTTCGTATCTTACGCAACATGCGTAATTGTATACGTTCAAGTTATAAAAAAAAGTTTAGTCACAAAATTATAGTGTATTATTAGACAGAGTTGAGTTTATTTCTTTTGATTTTATACATTATATTACATTACTTTTTTTTACTATTTTTCGTCTTTCTACATTATTATTATTATTTAATTGCTAATCTCTTTTTCTTTTTCGCAATAATATCGATTATTAAAATGAGAGCAAATATGTAAATTATTTTAAAATGCTTCGACTTTTTTCTGAATGAAAAGACAGAAGAAATTTTTTGGACTTCTAGTGTTATATTTTTATATTTTTTTTGATAATTCAGGATAAGATACATACATCTATGTGATGCAATTTATTTAAGCAATTACTTTTATTCTTTTCTGTTGAACTTATCGATATTATGCGAATTTTTCTGCATGTAAAGATCTAATAGCGAAATGAATATATAGTTTAAGTGTAATATTTTATATTATTCAGTATTTTATTCAAGTACGTAGCTATTCTCTCTTATACTTTTCTTGTGTATCAACTATTTTATTATCTTTGCCTTTTAGACTGTTCAGACTTGGTATAAAAATATTATTACAATAATTACATATTATCATCAAGAGATTAACGCTTCTTTAAAAAATTTATTGCACAAAACAATAAAATTTAAAGAATTGAGTCTAATAAATATCTATATGTAAATACGCTATATATATGAGAGTGTATAGGTTATAATTGAATGCATGTATATCTTGTGATAAATTTCAAAGTATTGTACTTATCAACAATTCTTTGGTAGCTAATGGACAGTAATGTGCAATTTTAAATTTATATAGATCGAATAAACTGAAGTAGCTATCAGATCCTATCTTTATCAAAATTACGATGCGTTTAGTACATTGCGTTATATTTTAAAAATCACGCGATACATCAGGATACACACGATCAGGAACGTGATGAATATTCTGTTTGTTAAGAAACGCTCAAAAACTTTTATAAAGACGGTGTATATCAAACATATAACTGCTTTAAACGTACCGATGAATCTGATCTTCCTGATGGAAAATGGTCTATAATTAGACAGATTAGATTAGATTAGACGCTAATATAAATAGTTGTTTTATACGTCACGTGTAACATAATATTGATATTGAATGCAAATTCTATATATTGATTTGTAATCAATATCGTATACAAAAATAGGTATACAATGATAAGAAGAGCTCATGGCATGCAATGCATTAATTCTTTTTTTAATTTGCAGGTATAGAATAATCTAATAGACAGCTGCATATGCTGGCAAATACGTAAAAAAGAATTAAAATAATATTTTGCTGGAAAACTTTTACAAAATATTCAAGTTTATTTAATTACATAAACTGTTAATTGCTTTCTCATGTCACGAGCTAACTTTGAGTGAACAAATAATAGAATAGAACTCCCAAAATTTCAAAATTTATCAAATTCAAAACAATCAGAGTCAAAACAAATATAAATCAAACTTTTTTTTCGTAAAGTTTTACAAATAAATTAGACCGAATGTTCGAGCGTTATAACAAATATTTTCTGAGTTTCTACAATATTTTATTAGCTAGAATTCACATTGTCCATTTATTTACTCAAGGTATACAAATTCTTTATGAGTTATTTTCAAGATCAAATTAAGTTCTTTTGCTTGCATGCACAATGATTCATTATATATATCTACGACATTAATAATAACCAATTATATCGCTGGTATAATATTAATTAATGTCGTATTGATATAAAATACAGTTAAAAGTGTTTAAGCAGTTATATGCACATAAAGTTATAGTTTTCATAATAGAGAACTATTTCGATGACATAAATAATTATTATTTAAATATCGAACTCTTCAATATAGTAATTGACGTTTAAACAAATTGTAATCGTAAACGAGAAAATTTTGACGCATTTTTCTTCCTTTATACATATACGTATATACCGAAGTATTAATAATATCAGAAATAATGCCATTTTAAAATTGAATATTTTTCCCATTTGTAATAATCAGTGAATTGGATTCAGAAAGCGAATCAGAAACACGTTATTACAACAAAATTCAAATTTACCTAATAAATTATTTATTTATTATTGCATTCTATTTAAAAATGAAATATACTGCATACACATTATATCAATTTTAGAGTTAAAGAATAAGTCCCTTAAGTCCAACCCTTAAGTCGAAAGAATTCTATTTCATACAATCAATGATTCGCAGATATAATTACATTTTCGTACTAATAAAACATTACTTGTTAAAATTTGTATATAAGATCTAGAAATTTGATGTCAAAATTGTATATTATAATCTTCGGTGTATATGCATATATATATATATATATAAAGGATTATATTAGTTATTATAACACATTTATGTATTCCGATTTGAATTTAACACTGCTAGTAGATACGAGATTCTTTAATCTCAGTATGCTTTACATATGCAAGAATAATTATTTACAAATTACATTTTTGTCATTTAAGACATTTTTTTATTATGTTCATATATATTTTGAGTTTTGTTGAAACTTTTCAATAAAAAAAGGAATTTAAAACGTATCACAAAATTTTTTCTTGTAAATGTTTTCCTAAAATTTGAATTAATATCCTTGTGATTAACTTTTATTTATAAACCTGAACACACATAATAATGCACGTATATTTGTTTCTGTTTTGTGTAATATACTTCCACCATGTTTTGTGTGATACTTTGATCATTTCAATTTTGTGTATAATTGATGTCATAAGAGTCTTATAATAATTTATTACATAAATTGCTCTAGTCATATCTTAAAAGACACAGAAATTATGTGTATATATATTTTTAGCATTCAAATATATATATGTATAAGGCAAAACAATTATTTTAATTTTTGTTTGAATAAGAACAAAAATATTTTATCTATGTATGATGTCAATGATACAAAAATGTATGTTGTTCTATAAATCTAGTAAAATATAATGTATATCGGAAACATGATAATTGTTACTGACTAAAACTAATTTTACCATAAAAATATAATATACAGTAGAATATATTTTTGTTAATTATTCGAGATAAAATACTAAAAATAATTTTGTTTTTTTGAACAAAAAAACTAATGTAAGATATGGATATACTACTTGTGTAATACATTTTTTAAATGCTTCCTGTTTAGACTCAAATTGCTGTGTGACTTCTTAACAATCCTTGGGGAGTATCAGGTGCAACATCGACTGCCTTGCGTTTGGAATTGTATTCTCAACAGAAATTCTGGGAAAACCGTCACAAGATGAACATTATAAGAGCTTCTTTAAAGCACATTTACATCATCCATATTTAAATAAACAATCTATAAAATTTTATGGATGTATTAGATAAAAACATGCTTATGTTAATGTCTTATAGTGAATTCGATCAGAAATTTGCATTATTAAGGTAAGATCGCTTATTATGGGATAGGCTCCTGATATGAGGGGTTTTTGCTAAAGTAATAAGTGCATACGTTTTTCTATCATGAACTTTATACTCTTAGTGTGATACTTGTTTAGTAAAAAATTCATTATTAGATCATGTGTGTAGTCGTTGCAAAAAAAAATTTGTGAAATTGAATGTTTTCGAATTATATTGTAATTAGACTTCAAATCTTGTTTTATAATATAAAAATAAATATTGCGTAATAAAGTCTGCATGCAGTGATCGAGTAACATCATATTCATAGGAAAACACGTGATATAGTAATTTGTTTAACTGTAAAGATTAGATTTGGTGATCGTGAAACCGCAAGGCATAGAACTCATAATATGAGATACTTAGGGTATTCCTAGCTAACATGACAGCATAATCTAAATAATTAAATATCTCAAAGCATACTATCGAACGAAATATTAAAAATGACGATTCTATTGTTAAGATTACTCACACACATACACATATACTGATACAGACACTCATCGAAAAATTGTATAATTATTATGTATAACGTTTAAATTCTTTGTTCTTACTTATATATAATATGATAAAAGGGTGTATAAAAAGCTTATCTTTATTTTTTTTTTAGTTTTCTGTTATGAGATACCACCTCATACTAGAAAACCTTTGTATCTCATATTAGGAATCCTTTTTTAAAATAATCAAAATCGGCACTTGTGATAAAAAATTTCACATACAACAAAGTATAGTTATTATCGACTGCTAACTTTTGACGATAAAACTTAAATATATTTCCCATAAATTTGATATGAAGACAGAAATTCAGGTTACAAATTAAATAAATTACAAACCTTTAAAAGAAGGTATCTCATAATAGGCGACTTTACCTATATATAACGCATACTGGTGCATATTAAAAATTGTATACTGATTTAATTTGAGTGTTAAAGTAAAATGCAAATATTTCAAATTATATTAAGACTTTCACGACTTAAAACGTTTCTATATATTTATATTAAAATACATACCTTTATCGTCAATATTTGTGTACGATGGCTTTAATATGCATCAGTGCGCATTGAGTGCGTTCAATTGAATTTGCTGTTAGAAAAATGTAAAAGATAATTTTAAATAAATATGGAAGAAGCGTGTATCATTTGATTATACAAAAATTACACAGATTAAATTTTATTTTTTAATTAGAACATTTTTTAGAAATTTTCCTGAATTTGAAAAATTAAAACGTTGGCAGACACATTTATACTTTCATAAATTATATAAATTATATACTTATTTATATAATTTTATATATTTTAAGTACAGAGTTAATAATATTTAAAAAAAGCAAAATGTGTTTCCGTTAAAAAAAATTACAAATATTAATTTGACAGCTTCGAAAGGATGACTTTAACTTTGAAATGAAATTGTATTGATTACATTCATTCTTCGAAACGACTTAAATCAAGACTGATAATATTTGTATATACATGTTATTTTAAAAACCACGGTATGTGTTTCTATTTTTGATAATTTACTTTTATAGAGAAATTAGTGATTAAGGTATAACTCTTTGTAATTATTAATTACTATTTATTACGATTACAAAAGTCAAATTATCATAGTAAGCCGATAACTTAGAAAATATATCAATATGTAACATTGATCTACCATTTTAGGAGATTGATGATATCTGACGTTTATCTCTGACGAATATGTACCTGTATCATAATAAATAGTAATATATTTTTAATTTATTATTTTTTATTATTAGGTTCATCATTATAGATAAAAGGCATTATTAATTAAGCGTGAATATATAGTAAAATATGTATAAAAATATATTTAATATATTATATTTTAGTGTATTATAATACTAAATTACTTGTATTAATTTTATATTTAATATAATAAATTAATGTAAAATTTTTTTTCACAAAATGTATAAAAGACATGTAAGAAATTCTATTTTATGTCTATCTTTTTTTCGAATTATTTCTTCCCAGTTTATGCAATTAAATACTTGCAAAATTAATATAGTGTGTTCTAAATTATAACGAATCCTTTTTTTCGCAAATCTTTTAATCAATTTACAAATAATTCTTTCTAACATAGTAATATCAGGACAATTAAATTTATTTCAAATTTTCTTCAATATAAAATATTTCGCAAATAAATCGGATTAAATGCTGTTTAAATATTAACAAATATTTCGACCTTTAATAACAAAAATTCGCTGAAAATTGTTTGATTATCAATATTAGAATTATTTAACGTACGTAGTTTAAATACTCAAACTGAGTAAAAATCAACGAATTTTTGTATAAATTATGAAACATTATAAAGACAAATGAGTTTATATTCTTAATTTCTACTTGCGTGTGCATACATCTTCGATATTTTTTAAGAAAATGGTTGAAATAGTTTGAGATTCAGTTTTATTTGCAATTTGCATGCACTACTTATTTTAAACAAAAGCTGAAATGCGCAACAGTAAAATATATATCTGTGCAAGAAAAAAATAAATAAAATAAATTTATGCAAATCGATCGACAGAAAATTGATTTTAAAGCAATGACACATAATCCGAGAAACGAAGAAAGTATTGTCACAGCTTGGACGCCGGATTTATTTGGTCCTGTTTTTAAGAAAAAGAGTTTGACAGTAAAACAGGTTAGATCTGACAGTTAAATAATCTGACTTCTTTACACAATGCTTTTGTCCCTTTTTATTAATATAAACCAATTACGTTTTTAATTTATTAACTTTACTCACTTTACATATTTCAATCTCAATTTAATTTTGTAGGCCTTGCATTTGCGTAATGTAGACGAGCAGATTCATCGTATGGCGACTTTCGTTCCCGATGAGATAATATACGAAGACTTGTCAGAGAAAAGTTTACGAAGTTTCCGAGCTGTTTTTATGTTTTTAAACATTTCAGGTTAACATCATCGTTTTGCGTACGCATAAATTGTAAATTCGTTTATATTGAAGTAAACAAAAATATTTTTTTAAATTAATGTAGTAACATGTGATTAATATAACAGGTCTCTCGACACTATTTAAAAATTTTATTCATGATAAAAACGGAGGATGTTTGGCTTTAACTAGAACGTTAAATGATTATATTCATATTGTGGTTCGTGAAGTATACTGCAGCGAAGGAGACATACTAAAATTTTCTGGTAAAAAAAAATATCAAAATAAAATACATCAAGAAACAAATAGTTCAGAAAAAATGTAAACACAAAATCATAATTTTATAAGAGCTTCTTTTAAAATAAACATTATGTTAAAAACATAGCTGAAGGGATATTAACAGCATGGAAAGTACACGATGGCAAATTCATATATGATGTTGTGCAAAATGTAATAGCAAGCGCGATAAATATACAAAATTCTATAGCAATCTTAAAAGATGGCAACGGTATTTATAAAGGTATTTGCCATATATAATAACACGTTCTAACTAACATGAAATATTCAAATTTATACAAAATATAAATTTAAATTTAAAAAATTAGATCAAAATTGTAATATTGCATAAATTTAAAATAAAGAACCAAGAGCACACGTCTAATTTTTATTTAGCTTCGTGTATATGAGGCGGATTTATAAAGTATTTTTGTTCGTTGTAAATCACAAATTTTAATTAATAGTAAACGTGGCTATCTCTGCCGGGGATGTAAAGTTCTCGGTGATTGGTGACGATGAAGCTCGGCATTTTGTGATGTGTGGTGTGCCGATCGAAGAGCTAAAAAATGCGAAAAAGGTTTCTCTGCCGAATGACTTGGTACTATCACTTAGCGCATGGCAGCATTGTCAGCCAAGTCAATATGAATACGTCATCAAGAATCCGTATAATGTAAAGGTATGATGACATTCTAGTTACAATTCGAAACTCTAGTTAACATTCTCTCTCTTATTCTCTGATATTTTATAAACTAAAAGCTAAAAACAAACACTATATCTCATTTCTTTTTACTCGATATAAAATCGCGTAATTAATTATTTGTATTTAGACGCAAATTAGTTCAGACGTAAATTTAATCTATTATTATAATTTGAAGATTTATTTACTAAAACAACAGTTATTGTTGTTAAAAAATTTTACTTTAAAGAAAAGAATATACTCTTATTTTTACAATACTGATTCATCGCCGATTATGTGTTTTACATTGAATTTTGTTATAAATTTCTTTTATAAACAACGATTCTTTATAAATTATTGATTTTAAAAACAAACTTTTATCCTATAATTTTAGTCAGTTATCGGCAGTTATCATTTCAAAATAATCCCATTTTTTTAAGTTAATGTTTCTGTAAATTTATGAAGATGCGTGTGTTTCAAATTTCTATAGATAATAAGAACGTTAAAGCAATCAGACATAAAATCAACTTACATGACACCGATATCGCCGAATAATCACGTCAATCCAAGCTATGAACCATCCATGGATGAAAAATTTATAATAAATTCCGTCAGACCATTATCACCTTACAGGATACACTTGATATCTATTAACGAAGAATCTGAGACAGAAATTGCTAATAATAAAGAGAAAACTTCGACAGGTAAAATAAATATTTATCTCATATTGCATTTATAACTTCATTATGAACTGTTCTATATCCCCTCTGTATCTATTTGCATCTTTTTCTTTATCTATCTCTGTCTTACTTACATTTCTCGTATTTTATTATCTGTGATAAATATAAATGTGTTCTATTAGAATCAAATTGAGTTTTTCTTTTCTATATACAGCTATTAGAATATAGTGTATAAATCATGTGCGTTTAATTACTCTCTCTCTCTCTCTCTCTCTCTCTCTCTCTCTCTCTCTCTCTCTCATTGTAAATCTTTTAATTTTTTATTCCTAAAAATATCTTATATAAATCTTAATCGCTATTTGTTTAGAGTGCGTAAAAAATAACATTACTTTATATTAAATATTTCCACCAGCGATCACGACGATAGCAGCAACAAATCCGAATTTTAGCATACATTTAAAAAGTTATTTGATAAAGCCAGTGATCCAACAGGTATCGTTTATCGTAAATCATCAACTATTTTAACTGACAAAATAAAAGAATTTGTGAGTACACCTTTTCCAGAATTATTTGTTAAATATGTCTTGCTTCTCACAGATCGAAAAAGGTGAATCATTAAGATTCTTGGCGGAGATTAGACGAATTACAGTAATATCTATTGATATTATTCCCAATGAATGTTCAGACAACGAATTAATTCTTTTGATCGACAAATGTTTTCTACTTTTGCATAGGTTAGGTTAGGTTCTGTCACAATACTATGATTAACAGATATTATTTTCTATATAAGAAGATTACAAATATTATAATAAAAAAATGCAAAATTTCTCTTCAAATTTTAATTTCAAAAGTATTTTGTTATTAATTTCATATATAATTAATATACTGCTGTCTTTTCAGCAATCACTTTGTTATATTTATAGACAGAATAAGAAAATTAATTGTTTCAATATTTATTATAGTATAGTTACGCCATACGGGGGCTGTATTAACACAATGGATCTGTATCAGAAGCATATTTTCTTTTGCATTGTTTTTGGTATACGTGGATACAACAACGAGAACCAATTTAAAATCGATGAAACTTGTAAAAATGGAATTACTTGTGCCACACACATATTGCAAACAGTGAAAACTATCGTAGGAGTTCAAAGCGTTTTTATCGGCGTGTCAACAGGTAACAATGCACTTTTGTTCGAAGATATATTGGTCGTTTCCGTGCATAATAGTGGTCCTACACATCCCCAATGTATGTCCAGGATGTAACTGATTGTGCTATGACTTTCATTTTTTAAAAGGTACTTTTCTGGAAAAAGAATTTGGACTAAAATAGAAAAGCATTACAATAACGTTAATCGTTGTTAATCGTTTTAGCATATCGTTTACAATGTATACATCATGCCAAATTAGGATTCTGTCGTAATAAATTTATCGTACAATTCGAGCATTATGATACAAATATATGTGCTGTATTTGTATTATCAATTTAATTTCAGGAATAGCTTATTGTGGCGTGATCGGGCATATCGCTAGAAGATATTACGCAATTATTGGACCACCTGTCGATAAAGCTATAAGAATAATGGATATTTCCTATAATAGAGTAATTAACAGCTTGACTAAGATATTTAAATTTTAGTTACAATTTAGTTTGTTCGTTAAAAATAACCACATTATTTTATTACATCGATAATAAAACACGCATTTATAAAACGATTTCCTAAAAATTAAAAAAAAAGGTTTAATAATGTAGTTTTTTACCTATTCAATAATATTGTTGAAAATATGTAAATATATAATTATATCAATTAATGATCAGTATATCAATTTTTTCCCTGAATTATTTGCAATATCTCAAGTAGAATACAAAATAATAATAAGATTAAGATGACGAAAAATCATAATTATGTTTAATTTTTTTAAAACTTACTTAAAAATATTTTTTATGTCAAGATTTATCACAAAATTTTGTCAAAAATGTATCAAATGGCATTATTTTTCATAAAATAACTTTGGGTTGATGTTATGACAATATTATTATGATTGTATTTTATCTGAGACCCCCCCCCTGGTTTGCAGGTTTCCTGTGATTATGACACCGTGTTGCATAGTCATTTTAGAAAAGATCAATTTCGTTCTCGAGGCATAAAAACGTTTGAACAATTGGAAAAATATCACATTTTTGAATATCTCTGTGATGTACCGTGAGCATTTGAATTTATTCCTTCCGTTTAAATGCGAGTAATAATAAAATAAATAGAAGTGAAATTTTATATTTGTTTCTTCAAATATCGTGTAACATTTATGTTTGTGGCTGTAATTGAAAACAATGTGACGGAAGCAAATAAAGCTTTACCCAAATAATCGATTAAATTTTTACTGCGCTATGATTTATTAAATTATGTTGTTTAACATAAAAATTACAAATCTGTGAGGTGCATTTCCATTTTTATGGTAGCAGTGCATTTCTATTTTATTTATAAAAAATTTCAGGGAAAACAATCAAATAATTAAAAATATGACACTATATTAAACCATATCAAACCACCGTTTTTATCATTTCTATTTATTTTAACATCGATCCTTATATGTTTAAAAGATAAGAAATGAGTAGAATTAAACTATTAAATTATACATATTTATATACATATAATTTATATACATATTATATTATATATATTTATATTAAAATAGGATGTAAATTTTATGCAGGTAATAAAATATGTGAATCATATTTCCCATAATATGTTTATAGAAAACAGAAAGACGTAGCTTTGGAATATGGTTATCCTATTTTGGGCAGACTGCAAGAGTTGGAACACTTCAATGATATCCTGGACGATATTGGAGTCGCAGATAGGAAATATTCAGGATTGTTGATCGAGGTTTGATTTAAAGTTCCGAAAATAAAGTGAACATTTGTAAAATAAAATTGTCACAGACTATTGTCTAGTATAATTCTGATAATTAATTTGTTTAATATATATTAATATATATTTAATATATATTTATTTAATTTATTTAATTATGTAACGTTTTAATCAAAATTATTTACAAATATTAGTATATTGCCTCATATAACTATAAAGATAAAAAATAAAAAGTAAAGGATTTAATATGATTATTTTTTGTAGCATTTGCACACTTTATAAAATCAATCTAATCTGGTATTTATCCAGGGAATCGAGAGGTCAGGAAAATCTAGACTTTTAGATGCTTTCGTCACTAGTGTTTGTAACAGACAAATAAGACCAATCAAACTTTCTCTTCATGCGACATACGCGGAGAAGTCTTATTCAGTTATATATCATATTATTTTGCAGGTACAAAATATTATTTGTTTTATTTTATAGATTTTTTGTTAAAATTTTTTATAAAATAAAATGGTTGAACTAAAGAGAAGAATTGAGAATTTTGTTCTATCAATTCTGTTTTTTAGATTTTTAATTTACAAAGTGAAAGAATAAAAAATCAAATTTAATATTTTTTGAAATATTCTTATTTTTATGGTTTTTATCTCAATTCTTTTTTAATATAAATATTATAATGCTAATGTATATAAAGAATAAGGAAAATTATATATTTTGAAATTAATTCTTGATTTAAAAAAATGCAATTAATTTTATGAAAGATAAATATCTATCAGTTTCCTTTAGTAAACTTAATTTTTGAAACGGAGACAACTTGCTTCTCAGATAACTGAAATTTCTTGCAGATACTTGAAGCTGAAGATTGCGAGACTGTTGAGGAACGTGAAAAGGAGTTACTTAATAAATTGGGCGACGTTCTCGCCTTGGAAGATTTTTGCTATCTAAATATTTTAATGAGAGTACGTTTTCCTCTTTCCGATTCTTATTGCTCGGATACCGATTCGCAACGTCATACGAAGACTATCAATATCTTCAAAACAATATTAAAGCAGGCAATGTCATTATTTTATCTTGTGGATAAAGGATTCGGTACTATTTCTAAAATTGCTTTTATATAAATTAATGTAATCATTCATTACAGTTGAAGATTAAAATCTGCATTTTGCTTGATGACATTCAATACCTTGATCACAGATCCTGGCAATTTTTATCATCGGCTCTTGATAACTATAATATCGTCATAGCGATGACGATACTGAAGCATCACTCTTGGGATGACTTGTCCCATGTGGAAGCAGAGATCTACAAAGATAAAAGGCTAACGAATTATAATTTGCTCGGTCTGAATGTAGATCTGCTCCCGGTATTTGCGTGTCAATTTCTGAATGTCCTTGCAATACCCAAAAAATTAAGCAGGTATTGCCGCCGTTTGTTTTTACTCGTTTAGCACAATATCACAAATTAGTTAAACAATGGTAGGATTTCTATTAGGATTTTGCAAAGATGCCAGGATGGTCATCTCGGGTGGTGCGAGGCATTGCTGACGTCGATCCTTCAAAGTAATAGTCTGAATTTCGTTAAGATATCACCCAGCGAAGCGTTACAACGGGATCTTGTTTTTCCAAATGGCATTCTGGTGACAAAGCTACCAATCGATCTGACACCAGAGGAATTGGCGCCACCTTTATCCTGGTTGCAAATGAGTCTTTTAGATGTCTGTGTCATAAACGAGAATTTCTTTAAGATTACCAACATAAATCGCGACATAACAGGCAAATCTAACATTTTATTAATACTTTCGTATTACTTCTTAAGAGGCATCATAAATCTTTCTTACTTTATTTAATCTTTCACGACACGACGAATCATGACGTATCGAGTGCAATACAAAATAATATTAGATCCGAAAAGATATTTTTAAATATACGGAACGTCTTTGCAATTATATGAAATTGCGCCGATCATTCTACGTTAATTTGTTTATTAGAAATTCTCTCTAGAATTAAGAAGCGAGATCTACGATAGAATGAATTCTTATGAGCAAGATTTCATTAAATGCGCTGCCACGTTGGGCAAAGTGTTTAAACGAAGCATGGTAGAAAATGTAATGTTGAATACGATCCCACTGCACACCATTAAAAGTGAGTATCATTAATTGCAGCTCTCGGACATCTTATTATAACTGAATTGCATACTAGCTTAGATGAATCTCACGTAATTCCACAGCCGTTTCCGAAATGATTCGAATACGGATATTAGAATGTGCTTCTCTGCAGCGACGGGATTTCTATGCTCAGGATCTTATCTTTTGTATAGATAAAAAACGGCAAACGTTCTCCAATATGCACCACTCGTTAGCCTGCAATTGTCATTATTCACGTTAGTTTCACCATTTGAAAAGCATATAAAATATTTAATAATACATCAAGCAACATGATAGCGTCGCAGCCTCAAGTATATAAAGAAGGCGATAAACCATATAATATTTAATATTAAAATTATAATTATTATACAATTAATAATATTAATAAAATTTGATATTTAATAATATTTAATAATATTTAATATTAAGCTGATGACGCGTTTTTCATGAAATTCTTATTGATAAAAACTTGAATCTGCGAAAAATATAAACAATAAAAAAAATTGTAATAAAATTCGCATATATTGTTCCGTAAATTCGTGATTTATAATGAAACAAATAATTCTGCCTCTCTAGGACCTGTCATTAGCCGTCATCTCTCTCCTCTTTATGGTAATTGTAAAATGTTAGAGTTCAAAGTCAGTGCATTTCACAAGATGATGTATAACATACAAACAGATGAAGAAAAGCAAGAGTATCATACGAGAGCAGCTAGAATATGTGAATTGGCCGCTCGAAAATGTAATTCTTGCGGTAGCGGTCGTTTTCTGAGAATTCTCAGCGAAGATGTATTCAAAGAATTGAAGGTTATTTAGAATGATAATTAATTGATTATATTTTGAGCATGTGCTCAGAAAATAGGTTTTTAAAGCTTATAGTAAAGTTTATAAATAAATTAAAAATCAAAGAACTTAAGTACTTCTTAAAAATGAATTTTATTATTAAATTTTCTAATTTATTATTAATTTTTTGTAACTTTGTTAAAAAAATTGATTTGTTTGATATTCTTAGGAGGGAGACATATCTTTGAAACCCAAAGTTTCGTTCGTCCGTCGTCGAACATTTGTCCAAGATAAGTGGACGAAACCGTCAATCCTTCCAGAACCGACGATACTTGCGACACAAACAATTTCTGTGGAGAAGATAAGAGATTCTGTTGATATTTGTAGGATATCTATTATGCCGTCAGATATTGATGACGAAGAAAATGAAGGTAATAGTTAATGAATATATTTACTTCAAAATTCATTAATTTTAAACACCAACATATTTTTACAGTAATTCTCAAAAACGGAGATAATGACAGAATAAACATAAAATTTGGAAGGCGATCTACGAGTATTTTTCCAGAAATAACGGCAGATCCTTCTCATCCAAGCTTGTTAGAAAAATTCAGCCATATCGATTATCGTAATTGTCAATGCGATAACGTTATCAGCCATCTTTTCTGGAAGTTGCATGAGCATATTGAGAAAAGTGGTAAACTAATAATGTTTTAAAAACAAAATTAAAAAAAAATTTTTTTAATGTATTAGTAAAAATAATTAAACTATTTTAGGCACAATTTTATAATACGTAACAGATTGATAATTATTAGATTCTTTATTAAATTATATTCTTTAGGAGAAATCGACAAATTACTCGAGTTTTTTATACAGTACAGCGCCGGAATGATCCAAATTGCGCAACCTCTTTATGCCATTAATTTGCTCTCGATTGCCGCTGAAAGAAGTAAGGCCGTCGAAGTGGACGAGTGGATTGATGAGAACACAGAGGACAATATCACGAATAAAGGAATTATTCTAGCTTTAATGGGTCCGTGAAACTTTACGAAATATTCTGCAATAAAATAAAATATTTCTATTCATTAGGCATCGTTGCGCGGAAACATTTTTTTAAAGAGAATATATCGTTATTTGTCATATATATTAATTATACTCAGGTGATGCTCACAATGCATTAGGAAATTATGATCAAGCTAAAAAATACTACCTCTTGGCGGTGAAACTGCGAGGTACTCCACCTAAGGAGAAAGGCATCTGTTATAACATAAAAATGTTTTGTAAACTATATGCTCCTCCTCGTAGTTATACAGTTGATGAAAAATCAAGTCAACTCGTTATAAAAAAATTGGAATTGGCTTCGTACTTGCGACGTCTTTGCGTCGGATTCATAGTATGTAGCTAATATAGCTTTTTATTTTTATACAAAGGATTTAGTCAAGTAAGATGAAACTGAAAAGAAAACGATTAAAAAGAAGATGTACGCTATATAATTTTTAGGGATTTTTTTATTGTTCTAATGATTTTTATTATAAAAAGTGTAGTGAGAATAATTTTTACGTAATTTTTTATAGATAGAAAACAAATTGAAAAAGGCGCAGTCGTTTGCCTTGAGAAGTTTCAAGCTCGCGTTTCTAAACGTTAACAGTTTTCTAGAGAAAGGCGAAGTATATCTTGCAACAGTACGAGTTTTGCATTGCACAAGAAACATCAAGTTAATACGACGTATCGAAAGACTAATGCTAATCACAATAAAGAGAAAAGCTATCTGGAATGATGCCGAGGAAATAACGATGGTGGCAAATATTTATCTAACGATGTATCAAATTAGGTATAACGTCTTAAATTTGATGCACGAATTAATTTACATTCCTTGAATTATTATTTAATTAATTTACGTTCCTTAAATATTTTGCATGTGTGAAAATAGAGTATTAAGAGGTAAATTGGAAAAAGCCGTACTTATAGGTATAAAGGTCTTGAAAATATCTGAAACATTGCATCTTAGGAAACTGACTCTGATTATTATGCCTTCAATAATTCAAATAATGGTATTCCTTGAAATTAATCTATTCTCATAAATCTCTTGTGTATCTATGTCATTTTATATAAATTTCCTAAACAACGCAAAGATCCAAAATTAAAAAGAAATTAATCTTCCGTTTATGTATTTTAATATTTTTATGTAGACATCTTTTGGATCTTTTCACGTTATTTAGAATGCATATTGTCGTTCATTGTGTATAATATTTTTGGCTTAATAATTTGATTAGCTATGGACCAGACGTGTCAATGAAGCTGTCGACTTGATGCGAGAATTATATTTTTTGGCAGACGAGGATATAGATTTGTCAGCTAAGACATGGTATTATGCTCTTTCTTTAGATCTCATGCTGGATGCAGGAATAGTATTGGAATTGTACGAGACATCTTATAACTATTATGTGAAATTTATTGGTAATAACTGTAATGCAGTATGTATAGATGAATTAAAATTAATAAATAATTACCTACTTATAATTTTTTACAGAGGATGTCTCGCAATCACCATACAATGTTCCACTATCATATTTTAAAAATTATTTATACGCATTAAAAATTTGATATAAAAATGTCATAATTTTCAAGTTACGAATGATCAAATTAGTATAATACCACATTCAGACTATATTTGTGTTTACACATGTATCAATCTGTCATATAATACTCTTACAACAATATTTTAAGATTTCCAATTCTCTAATTAATATTTTACATAAAAATTCTAATTTTAATTGACCTAATTATAAAATTGTATTGTGATTGTGGAACAGCCCATAAGTATAAATTTAACACTTTGACTGCTAAACTGATTTCGGCATTGAGCTTAATCAAATCTAGTAACCATTTTAATATTTGACTGTTTTTTTTATATGTTTTAATATATTTTACATTATTTCTTTGAAATGTTTTAAATTCTTAGTAAAATTATTCTTAATATGAAAAACGAAAACATCATTCACAAATGAATGATGGAATTCTCGTGAAAGTGTTACAAATTTTGCATCAACCAAATCTAAGTGAAACGGCAATTAAAGCGTTAAAATGCTGTGTTATTTTAACTCAAAAATTGTACAGCTTGCAGATCCAAATTTTGCGTATGGCGTGACCCACAAAGCCTGTGTCGCTTATTGACAGGTCTGTGGATGTACCAGCTTAGAATGTAAGTATTTGTTTTTCGTGCTCGCATTTATACCAGCCATAAATCAAAAGCTACTTAAAAACGATAAATTTTTTCTTACTAAGAAAGTGAACCTTTATTCATGTTCCTAATTCATGTTCCTAATCCTAAAATTTCCTATTTCTAATCCTATTCTTAACCCTAAAAATTCATTAATCATGTTTTCAAGGTCCTTATTTTATCTTTTACCTTGTGATTTAAGGTAATTTAATATATATTGTTTGAAGTGTTCTACTAAAAAATACATTGTAATATTTACAATAGGGGTCAAACGGTTCCTAATGCATTTGCATGCAGTACGGAAAAATATGTGAAAAACGTCACTTGGGATGATTTTTCTCGAATTCTTACTTGCAGCAAGGTATGCCTAAACTTTTGAACGTTTACAATTTCATGTTTCTTCTTATATACAAATTAAATTCTATAATTCTTTTTCTTAGAATAAATTTCTTTTTCTTTGAATAAATTTAATTATTTCGCAAAAAAATTATAATTTTACAAATCATAAAGAATCTATTGTCTTTTGCTCTCGAGATTAGTTATCAGATATATATATAGTAATAATAATAATAATAAATTTATTACATACAATATGAGAAATAAACAATAAATAAATAAAATAATTGTAAATAAAAATCAGTTATATTTATTTATTGCTGCTCTTCTTATCTAGATAACATGAAAAAATTATTTTGTTTCAATGCAGTGCTTTAGTGTATTTTTTTAGGGACTCGAGTGTTACTTGCTGCTATTGCTGCGTTGCATCAATACGAAGTACTCTAACGAGCTACAAGATCTTGTTCAAGATATTTCCAAAATTAGAAAATGCCTCAAAAACATTTCTAAATACGCAAGATTTATAAAATCACGTTTATATTTGTTGATGGCATATTTGAATGTTCTTCGGGGTCGCAAATCGAGTACACGGATCTATTTGTATGAAGCACGGAAATTCGCGATTTTACAAGAAAACCAATTGATGAAGGCATGGATTATACAAAATAGAAGGGTAATAAATTTAATTACAAATAATTAGCTTTTATTAGTTGACAAATAAAATAAATTAAACCTTTACTTTTTAATTAATTTATCTTTAATGGTAATATTGATGGATAATGATGATTGATGGATAAATAAGTGTTCTATGTGGCCTGACAAATTTTTTGTTGCAGACGTGGAGGGAGAGAATTTATAATAATATGGCGCGATACTGGTTGGAATACATTGACTCGACAGATATCGTGCCTTGGCAATATATTCGTAACTTTAACGTCGATACGTGGTCTACTATCCTTTATCCTTTACCGGTGCCTAATGCACACTTGTAACGAACAATGAAAAGCACAATCTCTCATGTAGCATATTATTCTCGTATCTATTGTAATCCATGATTATCTTCATAGATACTGGTTAAAAACGGAAAAAAGATATTCTAGCGAAATATGTATTTATTAAAGGCATATTACATTTTTATGTTCTAGAAGATAAACACGACGATCCCCTCGTGCGCACGATCTTCGTGTCGAGGAAATTTTTTCGATTCTTTTCTATTTTCCACAAAGTGACCTCCGCGCATGATCAATCTCGATCTCGTCGCGAGTTTCGCTTAAATACGAACGTTTCCGGCGACCGATGTTTACACTTACATCTTGACGATTAATTATTACGTATTGCGATTTAATTAATTGCTCTATTTGGCCGAATTTGGCCGAGTACGCCAAGGATATTTGCGAATTCGAGAAAAAAGAATGTAGAAAATGAGAGAAAAAAAGAACAAAGTAGAAAAAGATAGAAATTGTGAGAGAGAAAAATGAGGAGAAAATATAGAAAAGCGTAACGAAGAATATATTTTAAAGATAATTTATTAACTGCTCTACTTTCGTAATATTTATTGACCACTCTACGTTGACTTTTAAAGAGGTAGAGAGAAAAAAGGATATAGGTTACAAAAGGATACAAAAGATACTTTAAGTTTTAGGTATTCTCCACGCAATCTTACACACACGATCTCTCTTTTGTCGGTATATCATTAATTTAATGTAATTTATTCTTGACATTCCATCACTCTCTAATTCAATTGCTTCACTTTCAATATCAATCTACCGCCCAACTCGCAATCGCTTATAGAAAAAAATTTAACCAATTTAATGTATGTGTACACTTATGAGCTAAATATTTTTTTCTTTCATAAAATTAACTTTAAACTGCTATTGATGAACTTCCGTTCAGTTATAAATCTGCTCATTAATAATATCTCGATTTGTTTAAAGATTCACTATGGCTGCGAGTACGATTCTGATTTGATCCAGTGTGAAACGGGAACTTTGCGAGATCCTACTCATCGTCAGTATAAAACTTGCATCGGCGTACTCGGCCCGAATGTGTCCGTCGGGACACGCGCGTGTAATACTTGAAGTTACCTATCCGAACAGAAGAATATCTCCCCTCGCGCGCTACCACAATGCTTTCCAAACAATGCGAAAGTCCAAAAGATGTTTACATCTAAATATTGGTTTACAAGGCTGCCTAAAACGCGGCGTGACCGAAAGATTCGGATTAGACATCTGTTTCTCAGATGTCTAAGAGATTGGAAACTTCTCTCAGATCTCCAAGAAACTTCCACGTCTGGAAGATTAAGATCTCGTTTAAGCATCTCTTTTAGATATTCGCGTTGTCCGGGTCCGTTGCTCGTTCGATGGGACTCTCCCCGATCGCAACGAAGTTTGAATCTTCCCTTCGTGTAACTCATTCGTGGGCGTCGACTTCGTTGTCGATGCGACTGCTACGTATACCGGTCTTGCCTGTCCAAGGATAAATGTCCGGGCATGCTTGGCAGGTCTTCATGTATCTTACCCCACTCTTATGCCAAAGATTGCAGACCTTCGCGTTATTGCATTTCTTGGGTCGGTCCTGCATCATATTTGCCGTAACGTAATAGAGTTCTTATAGTCCGCGCAAAATTACACGTAAATTAAAGCTAACTCAAGAATCATTGTTGTTGTTATTATTATATTAAAAAAGATTTATAAAATATTATTAGTTGTAAGATGAATAATGTTTATGACAATTTTATGGTTAAATAATTATTAATTACTTTGCAATGTTAATTTAGCACGTTTTTTAACTATAGCCATCGAAATGAAATAATAAAAACAAAATTGATATTCCAATTTAAGAAGTAATAAAAAATAATTTTTCAAACAAATTGTTTGCAAAATATCTCTAGTAAGGTAAGAGTTAAAGAGTTGCAAAAAGTCTTACCGGATAATGGCATCCAAAAGGTTCGAATGTGTGTAGAAGCGCCAGAGGCGTTGGATTCCTGATCCATTGTATGGCCTGCCAATTAGTAATTACCCATACGTCATCCATTGCGACAATGGTATCGAGAAACGATATGAAGCCTTCTTTATGATGCGGCTGAGTAAACCATGCGGCGTGATAGAATAGACCGAAAGGCGACCTACGGATAAAACGCATCGAGTTACGAGAATATTAGTATAAAAATAATTTGCAAATTAAGCAAATTTATAAATTTATTTTACTTTTTCAATTATAATATAAAAAGGAATTTTTTTTTTATTCAAATAATTATTTTCCGCAACTTATAAGAGTTTTATTGAATTTTATGAAAAGAAATTAGAAATTTGTGTGTGATGTGAAAGAAACAATCTGTTAAGAATTCAGACACTGAACAGAGAAATTAATTTCATCTCACGTTTTTCAATTGTTTGTCTAATATATAATCGCGTATACGAATAGCGTGAATCACTTTACCAACCTATTAGTCGTGTAATGCCTTTCGAAGTTCTTAATGAGCATCTTATATACGCCGTCCGGAGTCGGTGGGTTACTACAAGCATCTCCCATGGAGCATCTACCTCCATTGAGATCTTGCCACATTACCATAGGAACTTCCCACAATCCTGGATAGGATCTCGTGGGACAGGGTGGTATCATGCAGTCGTGGAAGAGCTTGTAATCCAGCGTATACGGCCAACTGGGCGGTCGGTTCTCATAGATAGGCATGGAGGAGTCGTACGTGAAGTTTGTGTCCCAGAGCATTTTGAACATATTGTTTCCCCCGACCTGCGTCACAAATAGCGTACAACAGCGTTACACAGCCGCAAATTGCTCTCGTGAACGGCGAAGAAATCTTTTATGATCTTACAGAGAAGTTTTTGTCGAAAAGAGTCATTCTATGATCGTTACCACGTATATTTTACATAATATTTTTTTACGAGAATAAAGAATGATGAAATGTGTTACAAGATAATTACCGATAAGAAGGGTGCTCTCATTCCTCTGACATCCTCCAATTTGACGCCTCCGTATGCAGACAGAATTTCGCGCTGCCCAGCAACTTCTCGCGCCCACTTTCGCGCCGAAAACTGTTCGCCGAAACTGTGCCTATTGCAAAGATTTATCGTCGTGTCGATCACTTGCGGGTTACGAAGAGTTAAACTCTCTCACGACGCACCGATCTATGGCTGACAACACGTCGGAAACGCTTTTCTTTCTTTTCATTTTTTCCCATTTTGATTACATAAACACGTCTTTCATTCGAACGTTTGGCTTTTGCAAAATGACGATATCGACAGCTGACGCATAAAAGATGGAGATGATTTTGCAAGAACCAAACGAGCGTGGTTGTTATGTCATTATGTTACGTGCATTATGTGCCTTTTATATTTACGTATCTTTTATAAACTTGATGTAAAAGCGAAAAAGGTATCGAAATTAAATACAAGAATTTCCGAACGTGTGTCGAGCGTCACATCAATTATCTAACATTCAAAGCGGAAGCGATTTGTTGATTGATTCAATAAGCATGAGGGTGACTTATTAACTTTTTCATTAGAGAAACAAGCTAGTGTTAGCTTCACCGAATTATGTAAAAAAAAAGGCGATAACTATTTAACGCCTTTAAGGCGATTGTAATTAATTTGCATCTGTTCGCGTGATGTTAAATGACAATATGAATGATTGTCGAATAAGCATGATTACTTGAAGTCGAAATGCACTTGATTTCATGAATAAGAATAATAAAAAAATCTCAATACTTAACTATTAACTTTGTATATTTTTACGTATTTATTAAATATTATTGTTAATATCATTAACATAAATTGCAATATATGTAATGGAAGAAACGATTTATATTTAATTGTGTAATTATCGATCCGTTTAATGCTAATTTATGTGTATATTTTCTGAGACTCAAATGTGTTACAAGAAAACATTAATATAATTACGATAAGTAAATACCAACGGCAAAAGATTTAAAAAATGTCCCGTGAAGAAATATACATCGGGCAGTATCAGCAACCACGAGATTATGTAATTTATGCGCGCGTGGCGCTCGTTTAATTAAATGAAAATAAAAACCGTGTGCTACTTCGCCTGCCCGGCGGCGAGCACTGTTCGCAGATCTTAATGACGATTCGATTACTTACGAGACCGTGTGGGAGGCAATCTCGTGGCCTGAGGCATAGAGATTTTGAACCTGGCTGTAGTCGGTCCATTCGTGGGACACGTAGAAGGTGGCCGAGATGGGACAGCCGTTGGGGTTCTTTCGTCCCTTCTCGAACAGATCGGAGTAAAGACCCTTGTTCAAGTCGTTCACGGAATCGTCGAATGTCAAGAGGACGATTTGCGGTATTTCCTCCGGTAGGTAGTCACCTGTTCGTTACAGGATCGCGTTCAGGATTCAGGAAAGGAAGAGGGGAGGGGAGGAAGGCGGACATGAGAGAATTAGGACACGCGTTCGAGATCGTGTTGAAAAGTGTGTCATAAATGTTTTTTTTTTTTGCGGACGTGAATATCGATGTGATAGGTTTTTTGAATGTTTTTTTTTTAATGACATACGTGTGAAGATGTGTCGGTTAGAGTGGCGCGTGATGGGAATGAGGAGCATGGCGAGGCGTGAAATGAAAGAGAGAGAGAGAGAAAGAGAGAGAGAGAGCAAGAAAGAAAGAACACAAGAGAAGGCGTTAGTTATGCGTCATTAGTATACACGACACAGGTGTGTCGTACGCGCCCGGTGAAACCGCGGTTTACGGCGTGTTGCTATCGGACCTCGCGATCCCTCAATTGAGAGATCGTCGATCTCCTATTTGATGAAGGTACACTTGCGGTTTCACCAGTTGTACGCAGCAATATGCGTTTTCATCGTCCCCACGGAGGATCCTCTAATTGCGCGATGCCACTTTCGAAGAAGCTTTCTTAAATAGTAGGCAGAAATTCGCGAACGTATTTCGCGAACGATTTATGGCTGAGAAGTGCTCGGAGATACAAAGATTCATTGAATCGAGCAATTGAAGGTCTCAAAGAAATTTTAAAAAATCTCTCCTTTCTAACAGTGGTTTAAGTATTAAGAACTCACTCCAAAGATCGCCAGATTTCAAAATTTAAAAATTCAAGGAAAACCAGGAGAGATTTCTCAAGATGTTTTCAATAATTGAGAAATTCGAAGAACTTGACGTTTAAGAATTAAAAAATCCCGTCAAGAATTAAATAGCCGACGAAATTGACGGAGCTCGAATAATCTAGTTGTACAATCTAATGGAATTAAAGGACCCTTCGTGGGTGAATTCTTTCCCGATTTAACGCCCGCTTGGAACATTCTCCAAGAAAAGATGGACGACAAGTAGAAATCAGTACGTTAATTGTATACATGAGGTCAACGGAGAACAGACGTTCGATGCGAGCTTCGCTCTTTTGGTTAAAATAGTGCAATGATGTGTGATATCCCCCGGTGTTAATGCACTTGCTTTCGTAATACATTTTTATCGACTTACGAGACCGTG